ATGTCTTAGATCTTTGAGTTCAGCTCATGAAAAATGGGGGCAAAAACAAAAGTGTTGCGTTTATCATTTTGTTCAATGTATATGTTTTTTTTTTTAGATCTTTTATGATTTTTGAAGCAGATAGAACTATAGAGATAAAATACTGCATTTGATCTGATATGCATAATAGTAAGTTTGTCTCCAAAGCTTGAAAATGTTTTTATTGGTTCTATGCTTGAAACGACAATGTGAAATGGTATTCGCAAAGCGTTTAATGTCTGTGATGTGAAGCATTTACACAATATTCAAGAGGAAATACAGCAGACATATCTTTTAGGGTTGGGTTATAAAATGTTAGGCTGTGATATTAGTGGTAGGTAGAGAAAGTTATGACATTTTGATGAAAGAATAACATACAGAACTGAATCATTGCCAATAAGACCAGAGACAGATATTGATTAAACAGTCAATTTTGATTTCATTTAGTTAGATTTAATTTAATTGTTTATTTAAACTGATAATATACTGTTGACATTGTGAAGTTTTTACCTTCATTCTTAATTGAAAATTGTTTTGTGGGATTATTTAAGGAATTGTTGGTGAAGCTGACGAGAATGGTGAGGACTATTATCTCTGGACTTACAAAAAGCTGGAGATTGGACAAAATGGGAATAGAATTGTGGATGTTAACCTGACCAGCGAGGGGAAGGTCAAGCTTGTGCCAAACACAAGAATTCCCATGTCATACTCAGTGAGTAAAGCTTTCCTGAGCCCCAGAAACCTGCTAATATTTACTCATACTTCTTAAATTGTCACTTGAAATTCAACTTTGTGTGTTTTGTCTTTATTTTTGTTTTCTTATATTTTTAACATTTTAGCTGTTTTGCCCAAACAAAATGTATACTAATGCTTATTGTGTGAAAGAAGTCAGTGTTTCCTTCCTTGGCTCCTTAGATACCTCATACATATGTATAATATTACAATCTTTTTGGCGATCTCACAGGTGAAGTGGAAGAAATCTGATGTGAAATTTGAAGATAGATTTGACAAGTACCTTGATCCATCCTTCTTTCAACACAGAGTAAGTGCCACATTTTGTTTGATAACATTTTCCCAATAAATATATAAAATGTGCTGAATGATAAATTTAATATATTTAAATTTTTTTTTTTTTTTTTTTTTTTACCTGACAGATTCACTGGTTCTCAATATTCAACTCTTTCATGATGGTGATTTTCCTGGTTGGCCTTGTTTCAATGATCCTGATGAGGACATTAAGGAAAGACTATGCCAGATACAGCAAAGAAGAGGAAATGGATGACATGGTGATCACTTAGAGAGAACTTTTGAAATACTTTATTAAATGAGCCTTTCAAACCCCATCGCTTTTTAATTTATGCATGTCTGTGATGAATTAGTTGATTCACAACCTTACAGTGACTGATGTGTTTTAGTTCTGGTAACAGCTCTACAATTTAATGCTACATTTCTCTCAGGGTTGTCATCTTGCTCTCTGCATTTTGTCAAAACTCGTATTATGTTTTTTTTCTTTATCTTGCTATCAGGATCGTGATCTTGGTGATGAATATGGATGGAAGCAGGTTCATGGTGATGTGTTCAGGCCGTCCAGCCATCCGCTGATCTTCTCCTCCCTCATTGGCTCTGGCTGTCAGATCTTCTCTGTTTCCCTCATAGTCATCATTTTGGCTATGATTGAGGACTTGTATACAGAGTGAGTTTCACCTATGATTATCATGGCAGTCATAAACTACTTGCCTATGTATTGTTTCATTATCATGTACAGAGCTGTAACAAAAATGACTGCATAATCGTGATATACATTTGTACATTTAACAGGTCTTAAGGTCCTAGATAACATCTAGTGTACACATTTCCTTAAGTGCCTATCAAAGGAATTTTATGGTTGCCTTTGTAGGAGAGGGTCCATGCTGAGTACAGCCATATTTGTTTATGCTGCCACATCTCCAGTCAACGGCTACTTTGGTGGAAGTCTATATGCAAAACAAGGAGGTATGCAAACGAATATGTGTAACATTTGCTATAAGGATAGCTCCAAATATCATTTTAACAGTGTTAACTATAGATAAGTTATAAATGTAAGCATTTTAGGACCAGATATACTCACAGCAAATATATATATTATACACACACATACACACACACACAAAGAAAAACAAGTAGATAGAATATAAAAAATAGAAAGCTAGTGTTTTTTTGAATTTTTTTTTATAAAAATAAAAAAGAAGATCAATATAGATAAAGTAGAATTAAAATAGAATAGAAAGTGCTAGAGTTAGAGGGTCAAATAAAGATGGAACAGATGTGTTTTTAGTTGTTTTTTGAAGATGGCTAAGGACTCAGCTGCTCGGATTGAGTTGGGCAGGTCATTCCGCCAGGAGGGAACAGTTAATGAAAAAGTCAGTGAAAGTGATTTTGTGGCTCTTTGGGATGGCACAATAAAGCGCCGTTCACTTGCACAACGCAAGCTTCTAGAGGGCACATAACTCTGAAGTAATGAATTTAGGTAAATGGGTGCAGAGCCAGTGGTGGTTTTGTAGGCAAACATTAATGCCTTGAATTTAATGCGAGCAGCTACTGGTAGCCAGTGCAAATTGATGAACAGAGGTGTGACATGCGTTCTTATATATTCTTAATATAGCCTATCGAAGGTGTCCAGGGAATTGCACAAGGTGAAATGATGTACATCCTTTTTTAGTTTCTTCTTGTTGTTTCTTTCAACTATTTTACATAATTTGTACAGGGAGAAGATGGATAAAACAGATGTTCATAGGAGCTTTTCTGATTCCTGCCATGGTGTGTGGCACAGCATTCTTCATCAACTTCATCGCTATCTACTACCATGCCTCCAGAGCCATCCCATTCGGCACCATGGTGAGATCCTCATCTGCCTTATATAGTGTCTAGTCCTACATGCCTACATTTACGTTTACGTACAAGTCAATCTCAGGCTGATTTTACAACTGAGATCAACTGCTAAGTAAGGAAAGACAGTCACTTGTATGTTATTTTGGACCACTGAATTTGGTTGAAAACACACCAGTGTCATTATTTAGTTTCTAATCCTCTTGATATTACACATAATCCCTAGCAGTCTTAAAGCATTATTTGCTTGGTAAAATTCTTGTTGCATCTGAAAAAAATGTCATATTTCTCATTTGTTCGATCAGGTTGCAGTGTGCTGCATCTGTTTCTTTGTAATTCTACCTCTGAACCTTGTGGGGACAATTCTGGGCAGGAACCTTTCCGGTCAGCCCAACTTTCCTTGTAGGGTCAATGCTGTACCCAGACCCATCCCAGAGAAGAAATGGTAACCTCATCCAATATTCACACATCACAGACTGACTCAAACATGCTCCGTTGTCTTGATATTGTGCGATATTCACCATTGTGTCATTTTTTCATTTTTGTTTTCTGTGATTACATAATATATGCAAATATGATCTAAGTAATTTGAATGTAAATATTGTAAATGTTTTCTAAGTAAAATGTAATTATCATTATATAAAATGGTAGTTATAGATAGCTATAATCTATATTTAGTCTTGTTACTAAATGTTTCTCTGATTGGCAGGTTTATGGAGCCGGCGGTTATTGTGTGTCTAGGTGGCATCCTTCCATTCGGGTCTATATTCATTGAGATGTAAGTCTGTACATTGGTTCTGGATTTATATTTATTAGGGGCGCTCCGATTGATCGGCTACCGATCGCTGTCGGCCGATAATGGCTTGGGGAAGTTTGAATGGTGGTCTCTATAAAGGTCGATCTCATAAACCGATCTCAAGGTGACGACGCACCTGCCGTGAGAGGTTTGGCATGACATGCAGCAGCACCGTCTCAATCTCTGACCGGCGCGGGCAAAATAATTATAATGCTGATGGTGAGGTACAATTCATATTTCTTCAGTAAATAACTTACAAAGTGAGTGAATCACTCACGCTGTCTCTCTCTTTCCCTCTCTAACTGCGCAAATAGCTTCAAATCACCACATCGCTTCTGCACAATAAGCGAGCTGCACAGTTCACACAGGATTTGTCACTTGCACAATCAAGGCAGTGTTGCATCATCACTAAAGTTTATAGTTTTCATTTCTTTTTAATTGTTGCCCGTGTTTAAATCATTCAGCACTTGCGTGCGCTCCTGCACACTCAAAGCGCGCACACACAACGCCAGGTTCACACATACTCTTGCTTATATTTTTTGCATTTAAACACGTCTATGAAAGATTGTATTACTGTACTGCCTAAAAAGAGAATCACAGTGCTCAAAAAGCATTTTCAGTAACAATGTTTAGATTTGAAATCAAAATGGATGTTTTGTTTGTGGTAAACAGCCACGGATCAGTGGACCTCTCTGTGAAAGCACAATGAGTCTGCTGCTTCTGCACCGCTTACGTACCACACATGGACTGCATACGCACTGCAAACGGAGTATGTGTGAACCTGGCATGAGGCCACCTCACATACAGCTCACAAAATCAGGCTTGTGCTGTGTGTAAGCTATTGTGCAACAATTGCCCCATTGTAAAAACAAAAATGCACTGCATGATCAAACATTTAGGTGACATAATTATATATTTTTGAAAAATTAAAAAAAATAAATCTTCCCCAAAAGAGTCACCTAAGAGGGGAATTCCCCCTATTTTCAAAAATGAAATTCAGGCCCTGAATGAATGTCTGTAAAAAAATCCTGACTGGAGCATCACTATAAATAATTCTACATGATAAAAAGAAGGCTTCAGAAAGATCGGTATCGGCAGATACTGCTTCCTGTGATTGACAATCGGTGATCGGCCCAAATAATCCTGATCGGAGCACCCTTAATATTTATACCCATAACTAATATGAATATCTATAAGATTAAAAACTGCCTCACATCTTCCTTCAGGTACTTCATCTTCACATCTTTCTGGGCCTACAAGATTTACTATGTGTATGGATTTATGATGCTGGTGCTGGTGATCCTGTGCATTGTTACAGTCTGTGTTACCATCGTCTGTACCTACTTCCTTCTCAATGCAGAAGACTACAGATGGTAAGGAGCATTTACTTCCCGTGTTGCCATATTTATAATGCTGTTTCTCTCATGCAGTTTAATTTGTTTCCACATCCATCCTCCCTTGGGATCAGACCACAGAGGCGTTTAAATGTCTTGTAGGGTGGTAAATACAGCATAACCAGATGACATCACGAGACTAAATGACAGTAATTGTTTTAAGATTAATGTAATTTTGAACTTTTTTTTTTTTCAGGCAGTGGACAAGCTTTCTCTCTGCAGCGTCAACAGCTGTTTACGTTTACATGTACTCCTTCTACTACTATTTCTTCAAAACAAAGTGAGATTTAGTTCCTTTTCCTCAAATGTCATTATATGAAAGCTCTAAATTTAAACGACTCATTTACTCACCCCCAGCCACTCGAAATGCACGATTTCCTTTTTATGCACCATAAAAACGATATTTTGCAGAATTTCCAAGCTGCTATTTTCTATAAAATGTTTTCTCTTAAGTGAAAAGCTCTGCAAAACATTAATATTTACCATAAAAATAGTAGAAACTGCATTCTAAATCATTCTAAATTTAAGTATCACTTTTTACACATTTTAGTTGCTTGTGTGAAATGCAAATACATTGTAAAAGTACATTGAAAAGTAGAAATTGTTTCTCGGTTTTTATTTAATTGATTTATTGTGTATGTGTAGATGTGGGATCTGATACCAATAATTAGCATGGACTCATTTTTTCCCCCAGGATGTATGGCTTATTTCAGACATCATTCTATTTTGGCTACATGGCTGTGTTCAGTACTGCTCTGGGAATCATGTGTGGTGAGTACAAGAAAACAAAATAATTTCTCCACCAGTACTGCGATTCTCCTCTTAAAGTCGGGATGAAATCAAAATGTACAAAATTTATTTTGTTAGCACCCATTGCTAGTCTGGAGGTGAACAATGTGTCCGTGCAAGTAAATACACTGGAAAAAAATATGTTTGTCTAGGTAAGCTTTAATCAAAATCTGAACATTTGCTTCCACTCTGGAATGGCATTCCTTCTCTGATGACGTCGGGCTTGGGCAGAATATGCTTAACCACGCCCCTCCAACCGTTAGTTTGCTGCGAGTGAGAGATGAGATCAAAAATAAAACCCTGCCCTCTATTCAGTATTCTGTTTCAGTTGGAAATACGTCACTATACTGAAATAAAGTCGGCAGCAGCTTCCAGTTCACACGGACTTTAAGTCATAAATGTTGCTGTATTGACACATTTTGACTGTCTTTTTCTCTTTATCTCCTTGTTTTTAGGTGCGGTGGGTTACATGGGAACAAGTGCCTTTGTGAGAAAGATCTACACAAATGTGAAAATCGACTAGAAACTCTGCAGCGACGCTGCGAATCAGCCGACACTTCCTCCCGGTCGAAGCGGGCACAAAGTCTCCATTTATTTTGCAAGAAGAGATTGTGGTATCTTGTATAAAATCTAGTTTTCCATTTTCTCAAAGAATTAAAAGTTGCAGCATGATGCGTACACAAGGGTAAAATGAGAGGTGTAATAAACTTTTTATTTTTTTGTTTTATCTGCTTTTCGTTTTTCCCTCCAGAGGAAATGCAGGCAGTAAATGCAGATAAAAGGGGAAAGTACACCACACTCCTATTTCTTATAACTCTATCCAACCTAAAAACCTTCGAACAGATCTTTATTGATGGAATAGTCTAGCTCTCTTCAGTGAAGAGGCCAAAGTGTATTGAGAGCCTTTGTTCTAATTATATGAGAATATTGGAGAGTGGGGTTTACGTCCATCCTCTTGCTTGTCTGTTTTGTATTACAGAGTCATACAATGCCATTGTTGTAGTGTTTTACATGCTTATGAATCACACCAAAAGCATAATGCGGTTTGAAATTCCCAAATAAATTTTTTTTTCATTCATAAATAAATAGATAAACCAATATGCTGTGAAGCAGCCAGGTTTTAGCTCTACCTTTTTGAGGGCGTCTGTTTTCCTGTAGCTCAGATCCACAGACCAGTGCGGGACAGAGCTTGGCACATCAGATAGAGTTCGCTATCCGCAGCAGATTCTAGTGAGATTGGTGATCTGAAATGATGGTTTGGTGGCAGATTGTTTTTAATGGGTTGTGTGATGTGATATTTCTTTTTCCAGTTCAGTCTTGTTTGGGTTTGAATGAAATCTGCTCGTAAAGATAATATATGGAATGTAACTAAAAAAAAAAAAGTTTGAGAAGTGGCAAAGCCTTTTTCTAAACCTCATTCCTCCCAGTTTAAAAAAAATTTGATTTCTGGTTCTTCATGTCATATTCCATGTGAAGTCTAAAGAGACATTTTAAGCATATTAACTTGCTGAATAAAGGAGAAAAAATAAATAAACATTGTTTTTGAGGTTATGTAGGCATGGTTTATAGATGGAGGTTGAAAGTTGTCATAATTAAAATTTCTGCCCAAGGACAGCTGAGTATTTGATGGGAACTATAAGAATTACACCAAATCAGTATGTAATTGATTGCACTTTTCAGTAGAATAAACAAATGGTGTGATGGCAGCTTCATCTTTCTTTAACATAAGTGTGTTTGTCAAAATAACTTGTAATATGAAGACAATCTTGATTAAGAATCAAGCTTTAGTAGTTTGACCTCTTTAGTACAAAGGCAAATTTTTAAGCTGTTGTGCTTACAAATTATTTGACCTCACAATCTTTAATCAAAATGTCAAAAATTCTTTGCTTGTGTTGGAGAGTGAAGCACTTTGGACAGAAAGCATCTGCTATAGCAAAGAGACAAATCCATAACAGTGCAGTTTTTATTTGGACAGCGTAACAAATACATAAATCAAAACAGATTCTGCTCCCTAATAACTGCCTACATACTGATACATGAAGTCTATAAATATGTATATTTCTTTTGGATATGAATTATGGACTTGTTTCATTTAAGTGCTAAGATCTGCATGATCTGTCAGTACCAGTGGTTTTGAGTTTTCAGTTGACCTTCTCAAAGTATTCCTTCGAGCCAGCTGGATTTGGCTTAATCTAAAACAAACAGAAAAGACAATTACATGAATGCAAAGTCAAAACATATACAACAAAACCTTTACATTTCAAATCTATGGCCATGACAGATTTACTAAGTTCATTGCTGGCCAAATACTACCAATTCACAACAACTGAAAGCTAAAGCTGCTGTCATTTGACTTGGAGCATGCAAAATGTCTACAGACAATGTACAGCGAAATTTGCATGATTCACATTCATGTTTCCTGCATTCACATACATATGAATAGAAGTCAATTGAACAGAAAGCGTAAGGTAACCAGCCCTTAACAGCTTTATAAAGAGTGTACAGGTTTATAAAAAATAGTAGTCTTTCATGCACTAACCTGATGTTATTTGTGTTAAAGGGGTGGTTCATTGCGATTTCACTTTTTTAACGTTAGTGTATAATGTTGCTGTTTCAGCATAAACAATATCTGTAAAGTTACGAAGCTGAAAGTTCAATGCAAACGGAGATATCGTCTTTTAAAATTCTGGCAGTTTAATGCCTACAAAAATGGCTGGTAGGGACTACAACGAGTTACTTCCCGGGTTCGTGACGTAACAAACCCAGATAAACCCCGCGCTCGGGAAATGGCAACAAAGGGGTCAAGGCCATGCTGCACTGCTTTAGAGAAGAGGAAGAGAAGATTAGAGGTGCACGTACAATTCCTCGCGTCCACCGCTCTACACACACTCTGCATCTCTCTCTCTCATTCAGCTCAGCTCCAACAATGAACTGTTACAATTATACACTTATTTTCACATAGCTATGAGAAGCGTTAAACATGGACGCGCGTGCAGTTGCCATACTGTATTAAAGCTTTAATCAGGATAAAACTATATTAAAAGCTAACATAAGCAGTAGCATTTACAAATAACAGCGTATCTAAAAGTATGAGACAACAACAAACAAAAAAACATAGGCCTACCATTAAAAGACGTGCTTGCACAGGTTCTGCATGATCCTTTTCAATAATATCAAACTCATAAGCGATATTAACGACGCCTTAGCCAATCACAACATACTGGGCTAGCTAACCAATCAGAGCCCATCGCCTACTTCTGAGGGAGGGGCTTCATAAAAGAAGGAAATGGTCAGCACGTTTCTCAGAGAAGGGACAGAGCGGTGTGGAATAAAGGTAAATTATGTGAAAAATAATGCGTTTTTTAAAAAACGAAGCATTAACACATGTTAGACTGCACCCCATAAACACAATCAAGCCTAGAAAAAAAACAGTGAACCACCCCCTTAACACACAAAGACCTACTAGTAAAAGCCGTAAAAACTCACTGTGGGCGCCTTTGGGGTCCAGCTGGCAGGACAGACTTCACCATGGGTTTCCACAAACTGGAAGGCCTTGACCAGGCGGAGGGTTTCCTCAACAGAGCGTCCAACTGGCAAGTCGTTTACACTCATGTGTCGAATCACTCCATTAGGATCAATAATGAAAAGACCCCTATAATGTGAAACATTTGGTTTTAGATACATTCCTCCTGAAAAGCAAATTATGCAGCCTAACAATGCATGAAAAACATGAAGAACTACAAAAAATGTTTGTTAATGACTGCACATGTTACCTTAGTGCAATTCCAGGACCCTCCAGCAGGACCCCATAGTCCCTGGACACTTGCTTTGTGAGGTCAGCCAACAGGGGTATGTGGATTTTCCCTAATCCTCCACTCTAAAGATAAACCAGAGTTTAGCCAGTGATCTTAAGATTTGCTATGAATTGGGCATTTCTGTTGCTAGTTTCCCAATAACTTGATCCTATTTAGAGAATTGAGAATGTTGAATGCAAAGTAAATTATAAACCTTTCTCGGGGTGTTGGTCCAGGCCAGGTGGGTAAAGTGAGAGTCCACAGACACACCAACTACTTCACAGTTTATATCATGAAACTCATTGGCCTTGTCACTGAAGGCGATGATCTCTGTGGGGCAAACAAATGTGCTGCCAAGTGGGCAGAAATGACTAAGCATTAAAAATAAGTAACTTAAATAACAGTAAATAATTTAGAATTATTATAGAATAATTTATAAATATAATTAAAAGAGATATTTAATGAATACATAATTATTTAAATAAATTATTAACAATAATTAATTGCAACGTAACTTCTATTCTTTTGAAAGCTGAGACAATCTTCAGCATGAGTGCATGCTGTATTTCCACAGTCCATATTTATTTCCTCAGAGACAAACTTACGTACTAATGAACCTTTCCTAAGTCTTCTATACTAATGAACTTTACTTAAGTATCATTAAATTGTTTAATATGCACCAAGCTGTAGATCAAAACAGAAATTGTACATATTGACTAGAGTTTAGGAAGAAAGTGAAATATGTACACTTACAAATCTAGTGGGTAAAAGAAAAGGACCAGGTATTTGCCCTTGAAATCTTCTAGGCTGATCTCCTTGAACTCTCCATTGAGAACAGCAGTGCCTTTGAAGTGAGGGGCTGGCTGAGTGACTGCTGGGGCCCATCTAGCAGCGCCTGATATTTACAAACATACATGATGGATTTGTAAAAATATTTAAAGGCTAAAATCTAATTACGTTTAAAGACTTACTGATTGAGAAGCAAGCTTTTTGTGCAGCAATGCAAGCAAGGGGTTTTGGAGCCCTGATCACTGATGCTCCATTGTGAGGGACCAAAGCTTTCAGTCCATTGACTGCAACTCTTCCTGCCTGTTGTGAAAAGGAGGGACATGCATGAAAGAGCCGTTACACAAGTTGGTTATCACTGTTCAACAGACAGCATGCCCGTGCATCATGTGTACATTGTAAAATATTTAAAACTATACAGGCTCACTGAACAAGAGGCACATTCCACGAATGCTGTACACTTGGATGCTTTTTTTTAAAGCGATACACAAATGTTTTATAAAGAGATTATACATGTTTCATATATATTTACCTAACATAAACTGGGTGCTTTTCATGTTAGATTAAAATACATCAAACTGTTAATCATTTATTTATTATCATTTAATAATTAAAAATGGTTTGCAAAATATCTGCGTAACAAGTGTTTATATGCACTGGTAATTCGTCTAACAGTAACTTGACAAGTGGACGTTATACAAGCAGTTTAAAGGTTAAACATTGTGAAACGTATCTGCTAAATAAACGACGACTAACAATCAAACTAAATCACATTTGCACCGAAAGGCAAAGCAACACTTATTCCTCGGAATAATCGTTCGCGGCAGAAGTGTTACTTAGCGCTACTGCTAAAAGAAACTTACAGAAGTCCCAAGAAGTCTCCCGATGGTGGCTGCCATCTTGCCAATGTGCTCAATGCAATGCGCAAAAAACACCTTGAGCGTCAAAGCTGCGTACTAATTTTGCATTAGTTGCGCAGCGCACACACACCCCTACATACAATTTTGCATGTTTTTTTTAAATCATATTTGATACATCAGTTTTTTATGGCTCATGTGAAACAGTGAGAATATGGAGCTTACTCGAAGAGTAAAAAACACGTTTATTCACAGCAAAAATATGCAATTTGGTGCAGCTGCTATTTATATGGCCCAAACATAAGATGAAACAAAGGACACATGTACCACGACCTGAAGGTGGACAGTTCTAGAATTATACTAAAAGGCACTTTACATACTAAAAAAAGTAACTGTCAATAAGATTGCAGAAGGCATGTAGTAGACTGAGCAACAGGTTTTGCAGCAAAGTTTGATCATGTTGATGATTAACAGAGCATGGCAATATATTTCATTTTTATTAGTTTTTTTATTAATATTTTTCCTTTTTGATTTATTTATATATTTATTTATTTGTATTTATTTATTTATTGATAAATAACAATGCAACATACAACACCCTTTATTTTTTTTACATGTTCAAATTATGCTATGGATTGGTTTGAAGATAGATTTGGGTCAAATATCTAGACGGTCTGTTTTTGGCATTTTAATTTTTTATCGCTATTTTATGTTGTTAGTAAAAAAAAAAGTAGTTGTCTTGACGCGCACCCTGATCATGCTAGAATGTAATTGGATAACGTCTGAGCACGTGACATGCGGAAGCGTCGCGGCTCGAGCATGTCTCATCGGCGTGACCTACACAAGTTAATCTTTTTGTAACAGAAAATTAGAAATTGATTGTTGAAAAGCTAAAATGGACCCCAACTTACAGTTCTGGCAAAGCAATGGGCAGGTACGTGTGTGATGTTGCGTACTCAGTGAAAATCAAGTTTTGATTTAAATGTCTTAATGAAAATGATATCAGCCACAAACAATTTAATAAATTCATAATTTTGCAGTCTTTTCTAAGCAGACTGCGTCTCTGGTTCAAATTCCTCGACCCCAGTTCTGTGTTGTCATCACAGGTGAGTTGCTGCATCGCTACATCAGCTCATGTACATTACAATATATCATGAATCACCCCAGTACAGTAAAGGCTTCTAATACAACGCCTAGATTAACAGTATCACGTGCACTAGACACGATGAAACGAACGCTGTGATATTTGTTCCTTGCTTATAACATTGTTTACATTAATAAATGACAGCAAAATACCCAATGCTTTTTTTTCCCCTTAGGCTGAAATTGAGCAGGCCCGGACACTTCTTCAGAATGAGGGACATACACAAAGAAATGAACAAGTAGGCTGCTTAATATGTTTAGTATTTATTTGTTTATTAATTTAACTTTCCTTACTTTAGTATCAGTTTAAAAAACTTGACAGTGTTCCTTTATTTCTCTCTCTAGGTTGCTAATGCCTGGTTACTGTCTCTTGTAAGTTCCTATGAATTTACTTTTTTTTTTAAGCGGGCATGACTAACAATAGATACCGATTCTTCAGACATGGGACAAAATTGGCTAGAGAACTAAAAGAATAAATTATTTTGGATTACACTGAGTTGTTCACCTATGTTTTAGTGCAATCTCCTGCTTCTTCCATTGTGTCACAAACAAAGAATAATTATCTAAATATAAATAAATATCTAAATATAAATAGATTAAAATGGAACATTTGTGTATGATTTCCACTGCAGCGTGTAATCACAGGTAAAAGTGTGGGACATGTCTGTCCCGTTTAGTCAATGACATGTTGGTTACAGCCGTGACTGGCTGTCCAAATGTGGTTTTAAGACACAGTTTGATTTTGCCCTAAACTAAAACATTAACATTTTTATAGATTTCACACATGTTTCGTCATTAACATTGTTACACTTTTTTTCAGTCATCTGTCCATCCTGATACTGGAGCTGTAATCTCACCAGTGTTTCGTTCTCAAGGTACAGTAACAAACTTGAAGGTTTGTGTCCGTAGAGATATTGCTTCATTACTGTGAAGCAATTTGCATTCATCTGAACTGAAATTTTTTTATTTTGGTCCTCTGATGACACATCTACTTCTTTTTTGTTTTCAGTTTTTCTACCTATATCTGCTCCCTTGGTGAGTTCTAAAATAAAAAATAAATAAATTAGATTGAGAATTGAGAAATAAGCAAATGTAAATTTGGTAGACAAAGGTATATACAGTGGTGACCAAAATTATTAGAACACTAGTATTGTCACCAGCTAAAAAATTATTTTAAGTCAGTTATTTCTATCTTTCCCTGTAGTGTGTCAGTAGGAAATATCAGTTTACATTTCCAAAGATTCATTTTGCCATTAATTGTAATAATCCAGGATTTGTAAAAATATTTAAAGGCTAAAATCTAATTACGTTTAAAGACTTACTGATTGAGAAGCAAGCTTTTTGTGCAGCAATGCTGTGAGGGACCAACGCTTTCAGTCCATTGACTGCAACTCTTCCTGCCTGTTGTGAAAAGGAGGGACATGCATGAAAGAGCCGTTACACAAGTTGGTTATCACTGTTCAACAGACAGCATGCCCGTGCATCATGTGTACATTGTAAAATATTTAAAACTATACAGGCTCACTGAACAAGAGGCACATTCCACGAATGCTGTACACTTGGATGCTTTTTTTTAAAGCGATACACAAATGTTTTATAAAGAGATTATACATGTTTCATATATATTTACCTAACATAAACTGGGTGCTTTTCATGTTAGATTAAAATACATCAAACTGTTAATCATTTATTTATTATCATTTAATAATTAAAAATGGTTTGCAAAATATCTGCGTAACAAGTGTTTATATGCACTGGTAATTCGTCTAACAGTAACTTGACAAGTGGACGTTATACAAGCAGTTTAAAGGTTAAACATTGTGAAACGTATCTGCTAAATAAACGACGACTAACAATCAAACTAAATCACATTTGCACCGAAAGGCAAAGCAACACTTATTCCTCGGAATAATCGTTCGCGGCAGAAGTGTTACTTAGCGCTACTGCTAAAAGAAACTTACAGAAGTCCCAAGAAGTCGAAACAGAACAAACTGAGACAGACTCAATCCAGAAGAACTGTGGCTGCTTCAAGAAATCTACCTGCAAAGTTACAGTACTGTTAAAAGTTTTAGGCACTTGTTTAAAAATGCTGTAAAATGAGTATGCTGTCAAAAATAATGTCATAAATAGATTTTCTTTATCAATTAACTTCTATTAACTAAATCAAATCAATATTTGGTGTAACCACCCTTTGCGTTTAAAGCAGCTTTTGCCCTCGGTACACTTCCGTATAGTTTTCCAGGCAGCTTTGCAGGTAGGTTTCTTGAAGCATCTTGGAGACGTTGCCACAGTTCTTCTGGATTGAGTCTGTCTCAGGATTGAGTCTGTTCTGTTTCTTCATGTCACTCCAGACAGACTGGATGTTGATCAGATCAGATCTCTGTGTGCAGCACTGGCTGTTGTCAGACTCCTTGTGCAAACAAACATCTCACTGGATTATTACAATTAATGGCAAAATGAATGTTTGGAAATGTAAACTGATATTTCCTGCTG